TACTCTAAAAAGTAATAAAGCAATATTTAAATAGTTATAAAATATTAGCGACTATTTTTACATTTTTTTTAATAGGCATCGTAATTATGAGTATTTATCTATATCAAATCGTTAAGTCATCTGTTCCCGGCTATTTCATTGTACTATTTGGGTTAGTTACCTTATGAGCGATATCGACCTTGCGCTAACTAAAAAAAGGGTAAATTAAATATGAATATATATGCTATAAGGAAGTTAAAACTGGTCGTCGCGCTATTCGAAACAAGGCACATGTCTTAATTCTAGGCTCTGATATAAATAAAGATGAGCCAGAGGAATTTGAATCTCCGGTGAATACGAAACAGGTTGCAGGTTGCATATAAATGACTTATTAGATAAACAACCCTATTTGGAATGGAAAAATTATTGATGGATGGGAAGAAGAGGCTTCAACCAATAGTAGTGTCTTAAAGTGCTTTTTTTTTAAAATAATCTTCACAGGAAGGGGTAACCCTAATATTTCAAGATTTTGTTTAGGAAACCTTCAAACCCGCAATTAAACTTACCTACATTAGATATTGGTAACGTTTTATTTTCACTAATCTACATTAGATGACGATATTTATACTGGTTTGAACAATTTAGATTCATTTTGCTAGATATTCCAACAATTCCTGACATTGATGAATTCGAGTCTCAAGTTCTCAATGATCAAATTTCGCAAGCTCCAAAGTAAGACAACATTTTTTCTTCTCCTTGGCTAATTCATTTAATATATCCATTCAAAATCCAATAAAATAATTTTCTTTTTAAGGGTTTCAGTAAATCATCTTGCTACATTTAAAGAACTTGAAAGGGATTTGGCTAAACACGCAACTTTCGCTTTCCTGGTAATTGATTTTAATTATTCCTATTGAAGGACAATGAAGTTGATCTCAGACCACTTACCAAATACTTAGACAATGAATCGGATATTACAGAGGTTTTCTTGATTTTAATATATATATTTCTTAATTAGCTGGATGAGCTGTGGAATTGGGATCGACTTTTGGGGGATATTTCATAAGGGATCTTATGCATGTTTTTAAGAAATAAAATCACCACATTATAATTAACATGTTTTCTTTTAGAGTACAGATAAGCAGAGAAAAATGAATTTTTTAATGCAATTTAGATCTGAAAATATTATGTTAATTCATAATTCGAAATATCACATTAAGGGTGTAAAAAGGCCAGTCTTATATCACCGAAATGTTCACTATCTAACGGAAGAATAAAGAACCTATATAAATAGGAAATATCCCAATAATTTTGGCACATCAGGAACCCATGGATAAGAAAAATATAAGCAAAATATATAGAGAATTGAATAGAAACGGTCAAATACTTTTACAGGTCGTCAAAGGTGCAACAGTGATGGGAAAGAAGAAATATAAAGAGAAAATAAAAACTATTCTGGGGACTACTACTTATCGACTGCTTACCAAAGACCCAACAGTTAAAATAAAAGGGTAACTGCAAGACATGCTTAAGGAAATGTATAACGGGGAAATCGATAAATAAATTTATTCATACGAAAAACTTCAAGGGCCTCAGTAGCATATTGCTTGCCGTAGGTGTGCAGAGGAATAGCCATTTATACTGCTAGTGAACCACAAACACGGAGAAATACATAAGCTGAGGAAATTTATCTGCCTTAAATTAAAGGTGACAGATTATCGAGTACGATTAAAAATTCATACGAATTGTTTTAAATTATCATAGGCAGATCAAGTAGGTCACTACAAAGCTAGAGGAAACTGCGACTAAAACAAGAGGCCACACTATCTTGGTCTTCGTATCACATAGATTAGGTATTTAGAAATCGAATACAACTCAATTGTTGTTAGGTATAATTATAACGACTAGATTTGCATATGAATCCATTCAGCAGTTACATAATTAATTAAACCAATTCAGTTTCTGAATACTCCTGAGGCAGTTGTTCAATTTCTCTAGTTTTTGCTTAATGTACCTTCCATTCACACTTATCAGCGTCCCTGAGACTGCCCGATGAAGTCGATTTATATGTACGGATCATCACTTTAAAATTAAAGTTCAGCCATAGAGATCTTTCAACAAGATCCTCTGAATGCCTGTCGGACAAAAATACTTTTTTTTACCTAGCACGTTAAATTTGTGATAAATAAATGTTTCTATATTTCTATAAAATCTTGAATGTACTTTATAGGAGCATTATTTATCGGTAATGTAGTTTAGGCTTCTGACCTCTTCTATTCAATTTAAGTCAAACTTCGGATTTGCAATTATCTTACGTGTGTCAGGACATAGGACGATTGTGGTATAGGCTTGATATAACTCAATATCACGTAGTGTAAGCTAATGTGGGCCAGAAGGATGAGGCGACGTCATTGATGCTTTCGATTATTATATAAATTGATTGGGTGCGTCATATAATCTTTACTCAGTGTATAGAGCCCCAGTATGTCCACTGAAGGGTTTGTTCACTTATTTAAGAGACTACTGGATGTCTCCTAATTTTGTCAGTCCTCCAAATGATATGAATACGCTACATAATAGATCGGCAAGTATTGAGCTTTGATTCATCAGTTTACTATTACAAGGACGATCAATGGGTCCGTTGACTCTTCAAGAATACTCATAGCTCTTTACACTATCACGACTAATTACAGAAAGCCAACACTTGGCTAATCCATTGCTTCAATAACTTTAGCTGATAGGGTTCTCGCCGAATTATTTGGATAACCTCGGCACGTTCTATAAACTCGAATATTTATTAAGGCTTTAAAATACATATTCCTTGTTTCTGAAAAATTTTCTGGGCCAAATTAAATTTATTATATGGACTAATGACGACGAAGCTCCAATTGCTTGATTCTGAAAAATTTTTCACTTATCTGAATCAAGGAATAGATTTTATAGTCTTTAATTTATACAAAGACTCGCATGTAATGCCAGCCAACAAACAGGACAGGTGTATTCTATCGCCAGCCAATCATAATCCTTGTTCGGAAGATCAGAAGGAAGGTAGGAAAAGGAACTAAATGGTGAGGAAAGTAACCATATCAATTTAAACCCTAGTAGACTGATTTGCTAACATTTTCCAAGCGCATTGTCGTTGGAGCTGTACTATTCAAACGATGAAATTACCTCTTTTCTATCAAAATTTTGCAAAAAAATATGTCTGATATTATATATCAATAATAAGGCAATGCCAGTTTAATCTTCTAGTTTATTTTGTCAGAGTAACCCGAAACTGGTAACATCCTAGAATTTGAGACGAACTATTAGTAATCCGAAGCATATTGTCGCTCGTGTCCTTGCATTGTTCAGCCAAATTCATCCCTCCTTCATCTTCTGCCCTTACTTTAATTTTATGCATTCCAGCAGTGCGGTATTCTAAGAATTAACTAACCTGACGAAGCTCAGCTAAAACTGCAAATAACGACATTAAAGGGCGTTCAAAATCAGAATCCGTATGTGTGAGTTAGTATAGTTAATGATGAGAAGTAAAAGTAAATCAGTTCAAGAATTTAATTTGAGATGCTCTCATATACAAACATAATTTGCATATGACAATTCTCAACATTAAAAAACTGCTACTCACAGTTGTGTCTCTTCATCCAATGCAAATTATGAAGGAAATAGCTAAAAAAGATTATATGCGAAATTAAAAAAGCACCAGGAATACCTTAAACGTAATAAGGGACTAGAGTACTGAGACCAAGAATGATAGTATTCGTATAAGTATGTGAAAGTGGAGGCATTCTACACTTTTATTTATATTATGGAAAGATAAATAGCGTATGGAGGACAATCGAAGTATGAAAATCTAGGAAACAAAGATCATAGTTAAGTCAAAGTTTTAAGAAAGCCTAAGCACTTAATTATATCAAGTTGGTAGAGCATGTGAGAGAACGGAAGAAAACTTTCAGGCTTTTAGTCAAGAACTTCAGGATACTATCATTAGAAAATGACTGGGAGCCCTGATAAACCCAATTGGATGGTGAAAGAGCAGATATATGCATGCAATCTCACGTAAGAGATAGGGAACCAGTCAAGTATACTTCTGCATAGACATTAACTGTCTGGTTTTTAGGCAGATTTGAGATAGTGAGAAAGTTTCAGTGCCCAGAAGAGAGATTAGCAGAGTGAGTCGGCCACAGCCCTGTTGACCTCTGAGCTCTTGGAACGAACACTGATCTGTAAAGTAATCCCAGCATTTGGATCAGTCCCAGAGATTCGAGCCAGCTTACATCTGGCTAACACCTCGTGATTACCTCGGAACATGCCATGCAACTGCAGAACGTGAGCTGATTTTGTCCCCTGAGGTAAATGGTCACTTCTGTTCCAGGGATGCATACCAAAGTGCTCGACAAGAGCCTTCAGGGCATCTGTAGTATTAATAAATAGAGAGGCTGGAGTGAGTGCAGAAAAAAAGCTGATATAAAAAATACAGGTTATTAATATGCCTTGTATGTGTCTATAAGCTAGCAATTAAAGTAAAAGTAGTGATAATTCAAGATATATAATGAATATGCGATAAAAAGATATATTTTTGGCTTGACTTCGTTTTCGCAATTTGGTAGGAGCATCAGGAAGACCTTGTGGAATATACATAGTCATGTGTCCTCTGCCATAGTATTTATAACTTCCAGTATCAGACCATTGACTTGGTACATTTCCAAACATTTCGCAGGCATCGTCAGTGAGAAGCGTCATTGTTAGCACAGAGTTGCAGCATATAAAAGTGACAAGTGAAGGCAATCCTCTGACCAATTTTCTGTTCAGCCGTTGTGGCATCACTCATCGTCCCTATTTTTGTCCTAGCTTCTAGTGTTGCATCTCTTACTCTCAATTCCCCTTCATATGACCCATTTACCTATTCACATAATCCTGTGCTCTCGTTTCCTACAATGTCGCCTAAAAGTGCGTCGCTGCAACTGGATTTTGTGAGGCATAATCATCCTCACCATCGTTTCCAGGTGTCACTTGCATGGGTTCCAACCTTCATTAAGCTCTTCAAGCAAAAGCAACTACTAAC